TGTCTTACCCTCTTGCTTGAGGGTGTCAATGATGGCCTTCTGGACAGCAGTCAGGTCGGCAGTCTTACCCATGATTGCGGTTTTGAGTAATGAACCAGGCTGGGAGTTTTTAAAAGCCTCAGGGATCTTTTGCAGGTGTTTAGAGTTTGTTTGTTGATTCAGGTGATTAGGTTAATAGCTCGTTTAGAGAACCTTTTTGTGATATGCTAATTTTTTGAGATAGGAATTTTGGGTTTTCATGAGCTGTATGCCAAAATCATCAATATTAAAACGATGAAAGGCTTGAACTACTTGAGTTGTGTGTAATGAATCTAAAATATATGAAAGTCTAATGTTTATCAGTACATTACAAAAAATAATGAAATTGAGAAGGACCTGCACATATGGTCCGTGTAGGGCAAAAGTTTTGGGCGTGAAATAAAGAGAAAGACATTTCTTCCACTTTGTTCTCCAGACTCAGTTTTTAGAGCAGGTGATGACATCATCCAGTGGCAACAAAATTCCTTGAAAAGTCAAATTCTAGATAAAAATTGGTGCCCGTTTTTTCAGACATTCTCCAATTCAAATGAATCGGGAAAAATTCTGTGTTTTTTGGATTTTGTGAAAATCATGTGACGAATCACCACCGAAAGTCATAGCACACTATTCCCCATCAAGCCTCACACAATAATATAACAGGCTGCGAGGCGTTTTGCTTCAAAATTTAGAAGTGAGCTGTTGCATCAGCACACTTAATTAACTTGGAGATTCAGATCTGGAATTGATATGTCATTGTGAGATGATGGTTTTATTAGAGAGGACGTCTCACTGTCAGGGAGAACTTCAGAAATGCAGCAATTAAAAAATGTTTTGGGATCTATGAGGTTTTGGCCTTCCACCGAAGAAAACTCACCAGATTTCTGATAAAAACATTCTTGCACAGTTTGGTAAAATAAGGTGTGGTGGGGCGTGGTCTGCGGTGCTGTGCAGGGAGGGCGGACGCACCTGCACGGCATCCGTAATCACGCCCGCCGGGTTAAAACACGGGGACTCAGGTGTGTGTGGTTGTTGTTGTGGTGAGTGTGAATAAAAATGGCTGAAAATGATATTCCGTGGTCCCGCCGTTCCTTATTCTCACCACCACAAAGGTTTCGCTTACTGATGCTTAAAATACATTGTTGTTTGTCCTATGGACAAAAATGACAGGAAACAAACGGGTATCTATGAGTAAAGTGACAGAGTGTTTGCCTGTAAGCAATAGTGATGACTAACTGCACGTTGAATTTATGGCAGTGTAACAGACTCATGCTGCTTCAGCCTTTTTCTCTCCAAAAGACCAGCGAGATAAAACACTCCTCTCTGATGGTTTATGCTCTGTAATGAAGTTAGGAAGTGAGCTAACGTTTGATCTGCCGTTAGCCGCTTTGAGGTCTGCTCTGACTGAAAATGTGTCGCCCAAATTATTTGGCACACTTCAGATTTCATTTGTGTAGTAACGTATTTCCTTTGTTCCTCCAGACCTCCCACAGCAACGGGAAAATGGAGAGGAGGAGATTCTTACTGACCAGGAGAGACCCTCAGGTGTGGACCAGGATGAACCACAGCAACCACGGATTAAAGAGGAACAGGAGGAACTCTGCACCAGTCAGGAGAACCCCCAACCTCCACAGATAAAAGAGGAGGAGGAAGAAGTTAGCACCAGTCCAGAGGAGCCAGAATCTTCACAGATTAAAGAAGAAGGGAAGGAACCCTGCACCAGTCAGGACGGAGAGCAGGTCGTGCTGAAGGAGGAGACTGATACCTTTACGGTGACTCCTGTTCACGAGGAAGATGGCTGCAATGAAGCAGGACCAAACAATGTTCTGCTCTCTCCTCTGAGCCCTCCTGACGCTGAGAATGGGAAGAAGTACTACCGTATTTACACAATGAAATATCTTGAAAGAATTCAGACAGTTGACAAAAGATACTGTTGCAAAATATGTGGGAAAGGTTTCGCTCACAGGTGTAATTTGGTGGACCACATGAGAATTCACACTGGTGAAAAGCCATACACATGTGAAACATGCGGGAAAAGTTTCAACAGAGTTGGTAATTTTAATGCCCACATGAGAAACCACACGGGTAAGAAGCCCTATGCTTGTGAAACGTGTGGGAAAGGTTTTAATCATCGATGCAATTTGGTGGACCACGTGAGAATTCACACAGGAGAGAAACCATACACATGTGAAACATGTGGGAAAAGTTTCAATCGAGTTGGTAATTTTAATGCCCACATGAGAACTCATGCAAGTAAGAAGATGTTTTCTTGTGAAACCTGCGGGAAAGGTTTCAATAGAAGGGGCCACTTTAATACCCACCTGAAAACACACACAGGTGAGAAACCTTATCCCTGTTACACGTGTGGGAAAACATTTATAAATGCATCAAGGCTCAAATTTCACATGATAATTCACACCGGTAAGAAACCCTATTCTTGTGAAACATGTGGGAAGCGTTTCATTCGAAAAGTGCACTTAACCACCCACGTGAGAATTCACACCGGTGAGAAACCTTATCCCTGCGAGGTATGTGAGAAAAGATTTATTGACGCGTCAACGTTGAAGTGTCACATGAGAACTCACACAGGTGAAAAACCGTATGTTTGTAACATCTGTGGGAAAGCATTTTCTGTCTTATCGACCTTTAAAAGTCACACCTCGGTTCATACAGGTGAGAAACCGTATTCCTGTGAAATATGTGGGAAAACATTCAGTCGCAGTGGTCACTTGACTGTACACGTAAGAACTCACACGGGTGAGAAGCCATACTCGTGTAAAACATGTGACAAAACTTTCAGTCAAAGGCATCATTTGACTTCCCACATGAGATCTCACACAGGTGAGAAGCGGTATTCTTGCCAAATGTGTGAGAAAAGCTTTGTTCAAAGCAGTCATTTGTGGCGCCACATGCGAACTCACACAGGCGAGACATCGTCGTCCTGAAACATCTCTGTGGGATTATCTTCAAGTGACGCTGAGGAAAATAAGAGGTTAACAGAGTAACTTTCAGATCTCAGAGCTCTGTAGTTTATTGCATGTGACAAAGTACTCGATGGATCAAATGAATCATGATTTGATCTTTCAGAGCCGACAGTGAGGCTGTCAGATTTGTCCGGTCTGTAAGTTTTGATTTTTACAGAAACACGTTGCATATTTTGAAAAATGCTGCCTTTCGTCTCCTGTTTTGTTCACTTTTGTGCTGTTCTCATGCTGTAAACATGAGAAAAAGAAGTTAATGTTACAACATGTTAAGGCTTTTACTTTTTCTTATCTCTCTTCTTTTTCTCGTCACCCCCCCATGGCAGTTGTGCAGGCTACCCCTCGCTGGGCCTGGTCCTGTTGGAGGTTTCTTCCTGTTAGAAGGAAGTTCTTCCTCCCCACAGTGCTCCATGTGTCTGATTGGTTCTCTTCAAGAGTGTAGTTAAGGCTACTGTTATAGAGATAATCATAGTCACAATTACTTAGATCATTATTGGCCAGTTATTGAACTTAAAATGTCTTTTTACTGACTGTATACACACACACACACACACACACACACACACACACACAACCCTTATAGTTAAAATAAAAAGTGGTTTAATCCTAATAATTTTTTTCATCATTGAAAGCAAAAATCTGCAGACCTCATTCTGGGATGTGAACCTTACCCATAAAGCTCTTTGAGATGACTGTTATTGTGAACTTGGCAGGGTTGGAAGGTTACTTTTAGAATGTATTCCACTACAGATTACATAATACATGCCCCAAAATGTAGTTTGTAACATATTTCATTAAATTACTTAATGTCAGTAACATGTTCTGAATACTTTAGATTACTTGATATATTGTCATGGTTTTTACAACTACATGGATGTACTGTGTGATTTGTTACTATTACTGAAGGCTACTTGCCACTGAGCTAATATTGTTAGCTGGCGTTAGCTGGGGTTAGTTCATAGACTGCTTTAGGAACTGCACATGATTATTTGCACCTAGCAGGCTGTTAATGCTTTCCACCAAGTTTAGCAGTCTGCACTCTAATAGTAATAAATCACACAGCAGTAGTAAAATCGAAGATACTGAAGTGGCGCATAACCCAGGTAGCTACCACAACTAAAACAAGGTAGCTGCAGTCGGCTAATGTTAGTTTTAAAAAAGAGCTTACTTCCAGATGTTTCTTTATGTTGGAGTCTTTTGACGCTGAGAGCAGCTTGGTTGCTGACAAACAGAGTTTTCATTGCACGGTCAGATTTCATCCCTTTCTTCTTTAAATATGAAGTATTGTTGGAAATTCCAAGTAATAAATGTATTCCTACCTGTGCACTGTTGGTTCTGTTGTGCTGGCTCCAGGTCCATTGTGTAACTGATGCCACCAACATTAACAGGACGCTTGCATCAGAGCCTTTATTGTGTGTTTGTTTGGGTTTCTGACAATGCGTTTAAAAATTAGAGAGGGGACAGCCGAACATATGAAACATATGTATGTATCGTATGTAATTATCACCTTTTTAAACGGTAACTGTAACAGAATACAGTTACTCACATTTTTGTATTTTAAATGTCTTCCATTACTCCCCAACACTGGAACTTGCTCTATTGATAAAACTGGCTTGAGCTGAGCAGAGGTTCCATCTTACTTTGTCTTTGTTTGCATGTTTATGCGTCACGTTTCTCTTTCTTTGTGCAGCTGGATTTACAGGAAGTGTTCCAGCTCCCGCACCATTAGTGTAGTGTCTAATATTACAATAGTTTTCTCATTATTTTCCAAATACTCTTTTTTTTACATCAGTGTTTCTCCATGAAAACACTTCCTGAGTTTGGTCAGTTTTAGTAGAATTTTTTTTTTGCTTAGTTTATATTTTTGTCTATTTTATGATTACAGTCTTTTCACTGTTTCACTCACTGCTGTAAATGAACCTGTAGAAATAAA